TTTTAACATCACAAATCATCTCTTGTAGTATTTTCAGATTTTTTTAGCTGAGTTTTTTTTACAGTATAATAATGTTTATGTTTTAAATGTTTCAATAGCATCAATCAATTCAGGACATACAAAAATATACATCTTGTAGCTGTAGATATTATATAGAATTGGCAGGATTTCTGAAGTATCACATGAGAGTTAATTTTAGCCAAACCAAACCTCTGAAAACACTCTTTGAATTATTATTAGAAAATATAAAAATAATATTATTAAAAAACCTTGACTACACTGTAAAACCCAACAGTCAACTATTTCAGATGAAATGAGTGTAGTTAACTCAAAATTTACTGGAAGTTAATTCTGCTCATTTTAAATAAGTTTTGAACTTTATGAGTTAATGAGTTAATGAAATATCTCATTGCTTCAACTTGGAGTAAGTTTACAGTACTCATATATATTATTTTTTAACTCAAATGGTTTGTAGCTGTTGGTTTTCTCAAACATTTGAATAGTTGCCTTAACTTATTGGATTTTCCACTACTGAGTTAGTTTGAGTTCTCTTCATTTATTGGGTTTTATTATGCTCAAATTGCTTCGTTTACTCAATTGGACTGAGTTCACAGCACTCATTAGGATTAGTTTCTCAACTTAAATGGCTTGTTGCTATTAGTTTCCTCAAATAATTTGAGTTACCTTAACTATTTGGGTTTTACAGTGTACAAATATGTGTAACCTATTTTATTGTATATTTTCATCTAACTGCATTGACACTATAAAAGTAGATGCATAATGAAAACAACTCTTAGTTAAAGGAACAGTTCACCCAAAACATTTTTACAAACATTTACCAATCCATCAATTGTTTAAAACCTTTATGAGTTTCTTCCTTCTATTGAACTCTAAAGAAGTTATTTTGAAGAAAGCCAACTTCCATAGTATTTGTTTTTTCTACTATGAAAGTCAATGATTGGTTAGAGGTTATAGCTCACTTTAAAAATCATCTTTAGTGTTTAACTGAAGAAATAAAACTCATGAAGTTTTTGAACCACTTGAGGGTGAGTAACTAGTGAATAAATGTTCTTTTTTTGTGAACTATCCCTTTAATGATGAGTGAGTAACAGAATATATTTGCATACTAAATGTCACTTTTCTTTTTACCCTATTTAAAATATGGTTTTGATGGAAAGCATGAGTGGGAGAAGGATGGTCACTCCACTGGCATTTACAAAGTAATTACTTTTTGGTTTGAGCACCATCCTACACCATAGTTTGAAAAAGTTGTCATCATACCCACCCTCATGCCATTTCAGATCTGGATGACTAATTTTCCTCTGTGGAACAAAATATAACATGGAGAACATTTAAATTAAGGTTATTTATATGACAAACAAAACAATATTGACAAACGTTTTTCAAATATCTTCTTTTTTATTCAGAAAATGGAAATACCTATTTTAGAAATCATCATTTTAGGGTGAACTATCTGTTTATTCCCATGCAGTGCATTCTGAGCCAAAGCAGGTTGCAAATTAGAAGTCTTCGTGCCCAGTTTCAGTAATACTATGTTAATTCCGCTCTAAATTATTCATGTAGTCTCAGTGCAAAAAGGATTGAGTAAACTTGTATTTTACTAATTTAAATGGATTGAGTGCAATTAAATTAAGTTGTCACAGAATGCTGAATAATTGTGTTGCATTAGCTCATTTTAATTAAGTAAATTGAGCGAGTAACACAACAGATTTTTGGAGTGCAGAAAGAAAGTTCTCTGCCTAAACTCTTCTCACATTTTATGAACGTAAAAGTATGAGCTTGTTGGTGGGAATAGCTACAATTATTCAGACATAAGATGTTTAATTTTTGACATTATATGAGTATTTTGAAGTTCACTTGGAGAGTGTCCATTTATCACTAGGCTCGCTTTTTGTTGAGAGATCCTTTTCTCTAATTTAAGATGCAATATCTTCTCTTTTCAATGCCTTCCACTCTTTCAGAACACGAAAGATAATAGATCTTTGAAGGAAAGTAGTTAGATAAGTTTCATCCCTAAACCACCTTTTCTCGAAGGAAGCTTTTATAGCAAAAACCGAATCCAACATAGATAAAAATTCATGTTCTGCATGCGCAATGAAATGTCCACAATGGAATGGATAAACCACCTACTGACTTTAAATCCAATTCAATACTGACGCTGAATATTGAAGAGTGAATTCTGGTATGTGTCTACTTTTAAAATCCAAATGGCTTATGTCCAGACCGAAACTCTGTAGACCAAGTGGAAATTTGCCAGTGCGACATATTGGTGCAATGCAGATGTCTTTCTAAAAATGATGGATTGTATTTATAAATAAAAATCTAAACTCTATAGGGAACATAGCAATTCTTCTAAAAACACCAACCTGTTTTTTATTTATTTATTTATTTTTTTTTTAATCATATATTAGAAGCTAATGCATTTTAACAGGAAAACCCCTGTTACAGTGGTTACTTTTTCAGGCTATGCTTTAAGCCAGTTGTTTCATATTTCAACGGTCCCTTAGCACTTCAGGCAAACATAGTCATGAATCTTCTTTCCTAATAATTAGCCGACTGCAGCACTGAGCTGCATATTCATCATACTGCAGTCTGCATTGCATTAGAGATGGGATTCGGGGACTTTATTGACCACAAAACAGGCTGAACTTACATTAGTTGCCTGGCAGACTCTTCATCCTTGACTGATGGCATTGCTTTGAATGGTGCAGTACTAATAGAGCCCCACCCATTTCCAACTGGCCCAGAGATCCACTCACTCATACTCAAACTCATATTCAGACTAGCTCTATTTAGATGTGGGCCTCTTCTGAATTGGCCCTTTTGTCTGAGAGGCGTAAAATGATGCTCACTGTAATTATAACAGGCTCTCCAGTTCCAGTTTGAAGAGTTTGTCATTTGTAAAATATGAGACCGGAAAGCTTATTAGAAAAATCCATTGGAGCTAAATTATATTTTCATCTGACTGTCTTTAGTGATGCACTTGTTTTGTAGACTTCAGAATAGAGTTATTGTAACCAAGAGATTATTCACTAAGGGTTTGTAGCTTGGTCTCTTGGTAGTTTTGGTTAGGAGCAACAAAGAAATAAATATTGCATTTAGTACAGATTTACTTCAGTGCTCATACTGTGATTAAAATACCACACCTAAAAATGAACTCATACGGCTAATTTAATTCAGCTTAAAAATGTAAGGCAACCAATGTTTTACAGTGTACAAATACATTAGTGTCGTCAAAATGTAGTTTCAAATCTACTATTTTGCAACTACAAGTCTACTATATGAAAAATTTCAGGTTGCTTTCTGTTGAGGCAATATACTCTCATAGTGATTTCTCAGGCAGCTGAGGTTACTGAATTAAAATGGTTATTACTAAATGCAAGGTTAGTCTGCATTCAGTAATGACTATTTAATTCAAACAAATCTTACTGTGAGATCTTCTAAAATTGTGTGCAAGAAACTCTCTAAGATCACATTAAATGTGATTTTATGTTTTAAAAACGTGTGGCATACCGCAATGCATTTTTGCTGGCATGAGAAATGTAGTGTGGTGCACTTTTTATGTTGCTAGGCAACAAATGAATCAGCTGCATATTGTGAGAGAGTGTTGCTGTTGATATTGTTATAATTTTAATATTTAATAATATTGTGATATTCAAGTTTTGTGAAGTCTTACAGTTCCGCATAACTCAAAATAGCTACCATTGATCTCTCCTCTATCTTCATAAAGTCTCTGTATTCGTCTTGACAACACAAATATTGCTGTCACCTCAATGGAAACCCCTTCTCTGCTTTAATTTGATTGGACAATGAAACTGAATAAACTGAGAGCGCACATAGCGCAACAGCAAAAACGCGAGTCACAGCAAGCGGTTAAAACACTCGAGGTTGTTAGTAAATTATTCAAAAAAAGCACAAAAAGCTAGTTTGCCCTTTTAAAAAATCCAGCTTGAACCAGTCTAGGATGGTTGACTCGTTTTTGCTGGTTGACCATCCTGGTTTTATAGGGGTTTTGGCCATTTCCAGGCTGGTTTCCAGCCATTTCCAGCCTGGTCTTAGCTGGTCAGGCTGGGAGATGACCAGCTAAAACCAACTTGATCAGCCTAGCCAGGCTGGAAGCCCAGCCAAAACCAACTATGTCCAGCTTTAACCAGGCTGGTCAAGTTGGTTTTAGCTGGTCATTTTCCAGTCTGACCAGCTAAGACCAGGCTGGAAACGGCTGAAAACTAGCCTGGAAATGGCCAAAACTCCTCTAAAACCAGACTGGTCAACCAGCTAAAACCAGCCAACCAACCAAGGCTGGTTTAAGCCGGATTTTTCAGCAGGGTGGCGTGATTGGCCCCTACAGCTTGGATTTATGAACTACAAAAACGTGTGGGTATGTTATTAGTATTCTTTCTATGGTCTGTCGAAATTCTCATTAGCGGGAAGATAAAATTTGTTTAATACACAAGTAGTCCCAGTCAGTTTGTCACAGTTCTAAATAAATGCACTTCCCTCAAACATTAGTATTTCATAGTAACTCAGTGACAGTTGCCGGAGCCTTCATTCCTCTGTGTAATCTCAAGTGTACAGATGTGTGCTTCACCAGGGTGCCAATGAGGATCAACCACCTCTGCAATATGCTTAAAAACATTAGCAAAAACAGATAACGCTATTATTAGATATGCCCATGCCATGCACTGAAAAAAGTGATTTTGGAGAGCGGTAAATATAATCTGTGGAAACCATATAAAATTTACTTTATTATTGCAGCCAGCCAAGGAATTCAAAAGTAATGGGTAAATTCTACATATGCTACCCATTCGTCAACAGTAACAACCATCACATAGAAAAATTCAGTAAAGTATACCCCCAAACCGTGAGTTTATTGCTTGAAATTGCGCATGCGTCAGCCCGCGTTTTTGAGTGAGAGTTGACGACGCTGGATCTTCTCACCGGCTGCCATGATCGAACAAACAGCAGAAATTAAGGTAAGCAATTTTACATGCTGTATATTGCGCAAATGCAATTGTATTTTTTGAAGTTATGAGATATTACACTTCACTTGTATTAGGCGTTCGTTTGTTTAAAATGCCATTTCTTAAAATTAAAGTTTGAAACTGTCGCTGGCGTCACCGTGGCCCGGGACACACTAAGCCGACAGCAGGTGGTGCAACGTCGGCCACTCGGTCAGGCGAGTTGGTATTTTGTGTTCACGCATCGGTTAGATGTGCCAAGTGCCATCGGTTTGGTGTGTCCGGGGCTTTAGCTGTCTGCACAACTGCCGGTAAGCGGGGTTAGGTTGGTTTTGTTTTCCGATACTCCTGACACATTCAGACGGTCCCTTACCGAGCATGAGGCGCCACGCAGCGCGAGCTCTCCCGGCAACTGTTAAACGCAGATTCCGAGGGCTTGAACGAAGCAGTGCTCGTAATTTCGAGCGAAAAAAAAGAAAAAGACAGCTGTGAATTATAACCAGCTTTGTATTTTTGTAGGAAACACAGTTTAGATATTTTAGGGTAAGAGGTTTTTGAGTTATTGCCGTCCATCACTGAACCTGTCAGGAATATCGAAAACAAAACCAACTTAACCCCTCTCTGCCGGTATGTGGTCGTGGTGTGCTTTTTACAAGATTAGTCAGCATGCAAGACTGTGTCTGACCGCTGGTTTTAAGGTTAGAAACTAGTCAACTCCAGCATTTACTAATAAGTAATATTGAATGGGAAGAGGATTAAAAATGAAAACATAGTGTATCCCACGAGTATGTGGGAAAACACCCACTGCTGCACCTATGTTTTTAACGAATTGTGGGATCACGCAAAACATCTTAGAACTGATTTTATATTATATTTTGTATTTTAGAACATCAGTGCTTAATAAATGTTTTCATAATCTGGTCATATGTTTTATGAGGCATATTACATATATGATGCTTATTAAATGAAGCATAGATATTAATATATGTAATTTTAATGCCTTTATTTTTGTAAATTAAGTACACAGTCTGTTATTTCTGCATAACTGACCCTTGTCAAACAGCCTTGATCAGAGAAGCAGAGATAAACTACCGTATTTCCCCAATTAATCGCCATTCTGAAAATAGTTCTTTTAAATGCCTGGGGTTATAATTCATTTTTGCGTTTTAAACACCCACCCGAATAACCCCCAGTGGTGATTATATACATTAAATTGTGTAAACACAAAATCAACTGTTTAAAATTTAAGCGAGGTACATGTCTGATAATTTCTTTTGTGTAATTTTCATTTTTATTTCTGTTGCAGGCAGAGTCTGTATATGTGGACACTCACTATTTGCCCTCGCTACAGTTTCTCTTGTCTGTCCCCCACAAGCAGAGACCCACTGATAGACCGCTGTTACCAGTTCTAGGGCTGACACATCCGCACACGTCCACATCACAAGTGTATCCTGTAAAGGTATGCAAGTTTTCCAAATAAAATAAATCACATTGTCCTTAAAGGTCCTTAACGAAAGTCTTCAGTTATGGAAAAATGAAATGGAAATGCAATTTATAAAATAAATTAAAAATGAATAAAACCTTCTCTAGCCAAAGAATTGAAGTGGTCAGTCTCAGCCCCTCTTTTGGTGGGTTTAAAAAAAGGTATTATTCACTGAGGCTCAGGTGAAAATGTTTAAAATAGATTTTAAATAATAATATTTTTTCTTCCAACTAAGATACTTTCATGTGATATATATGAGATCTGGTTTGTGATTTAAAATAACATTTTTGGTCCTTTTACTTCCTAGATCAAGGAGGAGCATCACAACAGTTTCGTTGAAGTAGACATTCTAGTGGAAGCTTGATGAGTACACACCAGGTTTTGCAGCTAATGCATGCCAAAGGAGGAGCAGCTAGTTGCAAGATGCATCCTCTGCTGGACAGTTTAAATGTATGTTATTTTATTTTTTTTACAAATATATAATTATTGATATGAGGGAATTAAAAGTGAAATCATTTGTAAAAAATTGCTTTAAGTTGAGCTCCATACCAACTTAAACTACCTTTTAACATCAATGTGTAAATTGATTTTCTTTACTGCTTTATCCATTTGGGTCATGAGTAGCTTGAGACAACCAAGCATTTATCAGGCAAAGGGGCAGGGTTCACTCTGTACAGGTCGCCAGTCTATTCCTGGGCCAGAATATGGTCTTAATATATGTAAATCACTCCCACACTAAATTGTGTCTCCCTACAGACACAGAACATTGAGGAAAAAAGAGATGCTGTTGTCTGCTGCCTCAGTAACTACCTTGGGAAAGACAAGAAGATATGTTCCATGACTGGCAGGTATGTCATATTGATAACAGATTCTTAATCAACTCAAGTGATCCTCCTCTTATATCCCCCTTCTCCTTTTGTCTTCTACTCTCCTCTGCTCTCCTTTAGATAAACTGAAATATATTGAAACAGAATCTTAAAATAAAATTGTGTTTGCCTTTTGTTTGTTTCATTTTAATGTAGGAATGTGAGGAGTACACAGACAAAACGATGAAGGAGATTGTGGAGCACAATTTGTCTATTGCGATCGGGGGAAAACAAGTGATTGAAGAATGGGGAAGCCAAACAGAGGCATGCATACTGCTGGGACTCATATGCAATTAACATTGAATATCCAAAGGAGCTGAAGAACACGTTTGAAGCTTTTCAAAAACTTTGTTTTAGAAAATGATGGGGCAAAACTACTGAAGAAGGTCCACAGCCTCAAAAATAAGCTCATGCAGTAGACATTTCTCCTTTTATTTGAAGAGGATCTTTTGTTTGGACATGCCTTGATGGAGTTGTAATGGAGTGTTTTATATATTTTTTTCTCTTCCATCATTTGCTTCACACACAAAGACCCATCCACTGTCTCTCAGCCCTCTCCATTGCTCTGTGTTTTCCCCCATATTTCCTATACAGAAAAGGAATACTAATAGAAAGTGGCCTAAAGAATTTTGATCTCACCTACCGTCTTTTCTTCCCCATTGGTTTATTTATTTTATTCTCATCCTATCTGCGAGAGTGAGAGTAAGGACAAAAAATAAAGAATTTTGTTTTACTTTTATCCGGATATTTGATACTGTACATGCACAAAAACAACCACAAGTCTGTGTGTGTGCTTTTGGCTTTTAAAATAGAATAAGTGACCTTTGAAGTTTTGTATGCAAGTAGCCAATTACCAGAAAAAACTTTTGAAAATGAGTATAGTGAGTTATAAAACAGGTTTATTTGTTCATTGTTGTGTGAAGCTGTTGTACTTTATTTAGCACTCTTTTCTGTGTTTTAATATTTTGGTGTCCTAAAACAGGTATATGTTTTATTATTCAACATTATTGACACATTTGATAGATCAGTGAGTTATAAAACAGGTATATACTTGAAATGTTGTGTAAAGCTGTTGTGCTGCACTATATTTTGAGTGTGTTTTAGGATTTTTTTGAATAAAACATTAAGTTGATAACCCATTTGAATGTCTTTATTGTAGAGGTACATTTTACCTTTTCTGAATAAGTAATTGTTATTAAGTAACTGATATTAATAAACTTTGATTATATAGATAATTTTTACCCAATAAGTAGCTGTTGTATATATACATAAATGTGAGGTATATTTTACCCAATTTATGTAAGTATTTAATAACTTTTTACTTCAGATAGTTTATACTTAATATATGGGATTAAATCTACCCAACCAAAGTCGATGCAAATTGTTACCTCAGATTTATTGGGTAAATTCTATAGATTAGTTTTTACAGTGTGTATCTCACACACATAATCTCTCTCTTTCTCTGTCATTCTCTCTCTTATTTTCTCTGTCTACTTGTGTCTGATTAAAAGCAGATCAGTCATCTAAAGTGTCATAGCTGAAGTAAATAACTAGTTTTTACACCAATCAATCAAATATTTTTCTGAAAAGAGCAATACTAGTTTTGTCTTGTCCATAACTTGTAAAATAACCCTAAAATAAGCTGGATAATCAATGGCAAGTTGTTGATTATCCCTTACATATGAGATACCTGCATATAGGCTTTATGCTGGCTGATATTTGAGATATTGGCATTGTCCATCAAGAAATCAATATCGGTCAACCATTACTGAGTTTAGCATATTTCAAAATCAATCAGCAGTCATTTTAAGCAACAATGCTGAGAAATATTGGGAATTCAATTTTAACTAGAAATACCTCTGTATTGTGACCAAGCAGCAACATCCCGCTCTCCCTCGTGAAGCCAATAGTGAAGTAACTGAAACTGCAATATATCGACTCACCTTTGAGGGCTGGCTCCAGGAAGTCCAGATGTTCACTGACTGCAATGCTAAATTGGCTAATTTTACAGCGGATAAAAACATGTTTACAGCCTGGTACAAGAGATGGTTTTGATACATATAGCTAATATTACCCTTCATGACAACTGTGAGGGGGTGATTTTTTTATGTCTCATCCGTTTCGTATTTATTAAGTTATATTAAGTCAGCTGATTAGCCGCTGAGCTCGGCATATACATCTTGTTTTTGTTTTGTTTTATGTAGCTTTACACAGTCAATTGTCTTTTGGTATTATTTTCTACAATTATCAGATAATATGACATGTTGTGTGCACTTAAATGTGCTGTATTGAGGTATTTGGGAGTTATTAGCATTTTTCTCCTGTAGAATAAACGCCATATGCTTAGTTGCTCAAAGTATTACAACAGTAATAAGCACTTTATTGATATAGTGTACAGCCAAGCACATGTGGTCAGAACACAAACGAGTCGCAGGTAATGAAGCATTTAGAGTTTCTCCTAAAGAAAAGCCAGTCTAATCAAAATGCTAGCAGGCGTCTGTAGCTCAACTGACGCTTCACTTCTTGCCCTTGTTTGGTAAATCCCTGGTCAGTGGGATGAAGCACGAACTAAAAGGTGACATTTGGCCATGCCTATACTTGTAGCTTCATTTGCGCTCTTCAGAAACCTATGGGTGATGTCACGGATACTACGTCCGTATTTTTTACAGTCTATGATTGTGACAAGACACATTTCGATAAAATTATATGTCATTATGTTTATCTTTAATAAATGTGACAAAGTTTGGTCAAATTTACACCAATATCTACAGTAGACAAATAGAGATCAGTCTGAGTTCCTTTTAGGGGTGTATATCTGAAAACCAGCAATAATTACCCAGCAATTCCATTGGTTTGTGTTACAGCATGCACAATATTGTAAATATTGTCATGGGAATATATCCTTACCCATATTTCTGTTTCACTAGACAATTTCCAGGTTTTACTTCTTGAAATTTGATACAAATCATTCATCTCAGTATGGAACTGCCGATTTTTAGTTTGGTGCAGTGAACATCAGTCAGTGAACGAACTGTGGGTGGTCTGTGGGCAAACCTCTTGAGACTGAGACTCATTTCTCAGCAAAAAATGTATTACTTTCTCCATGTCTGCTTTTCACGAGAAGGTCATTAGGTTGGTGCAGAGCTACAGTACTTCTGAGAGCATTGCTTTCGAGATTTGTAGATTTGTAGCCCTAGCTTCTCTGTGCTAATGCACTTTTCTGGTGGCTGGGTCACACTAATAGGATTTCCATGTGAAATACCCACTCAGGCAGCTGAGGTTAATGACTCATTTGAATGAACTGTGATTGAATCAGATTTGTTAGATGAAGCATTAATTGATTCTGTCAGTGGTGCCGGGGATTAGGATTCACTCTTATTCAATCAGATTCTGGATCAGTTCTCATGCAGTCATCCCTTATCGTCTCCACAGAGACCGAGAGAGCGGTGAGCTATTACGTGTGGTGTAGTAGCTGCTACCTTCATAACAAGGAGTTTAACCGTTGCTCCATAATTGTTTATATGATATTTAAATGAGTAATGGAACTAAGTTTGTCATGTAAGTTATCAAAGAAGTTAATTTTATTAAAATGTCAAGTCCAAATGACAGAAAAAATAAGATGAACAAAATGGAAACACTTAAAAAGAATCGAAGGCCACCAATGTTGTGCTGATGTGACCACTAATGCAGAGCTTGAGACCTCAGTGGAGCTGAAACAAAGAGTGTAAAGTGTTTATTAACAGCTCCAGGGAATGTGAGAATGAGCACAAAGATTTTTAGAAACTAATTTCTTAGTCATCAGATAAAAAACAATAATCCACCCTGGTTGTTTTATGGGTTTTTGAGCATTCAATTCTGAATGTGCTTCACCCAAGTGAGTGGGCTTGACAAACCACCTGAAGGACACACTCTCCTCTCTCCATATGCACCAGACACTTATCAACACTCCATGTTTCTGGAATTATCGTGGGATTTTAAGTGTGGTCCACACAAATGAGTGGGCTTGACAAACCACCTGTTGGACACACTCTCTCCTCTCCATATGCACCCGACATTTTCTTATCAACACTCCATGTTTCTGGAAATATTGTGCAATTCTGTGTGTAGTGCGCATAGGTAAGTGGGCTTGACAAATCACCCGAAGTATACACTCTCCTCTCTCCATATGCACCAGACACTTTCTTATCAACACTCCATGTTTCTGGAAATAATGAGCAATTCTGAGTGTGGTCCATACAGGTGAGTGGGCTTGACAAACCACCTGTTGGACACACTCTCCTCTCTCCATATACACCAGACACTTTCTTATCAACACTCCATGTTTCTGGAATTATCGTGCAATTCTGAGTGTGCTTCACACAGGTGAGTGGGCTTGACAAACCACACTCTATCCTCTCCTTATGCTAACTTATACTTGTGTGACGAGTCTCTTTGACCAACCCACTGATCGGCCGAAAGCGGGAAGGACAGAGACTCATCTGCTCAATTGGGAACACCTGAGTTACCCTCTATAAAAGCCAGCAGTTTTGGCTTGTGAAGAAGCCGTGCTTTTGCTCCTGTTTGTTTTATTTTGTTTCTTTTCAGCTTTGGTTAATCTTTGATTTGGCTTACCTAAAATGAGCACTTGATTATTCTTTAATGTTTAAATAAATACTTATGGTACCAAACCATCCGGTGTATGTCCTCCCTTTAATTTTGTCATTGCCTTTGAGCTGGGTCGTGACACTTGTCATAGCATTTATAGTCCTCTGCTTTGGTGATTTTAAGTGCTTCTGTTATTCTCACTTGTAAGTCGCTTTGAATAAAAGCTTATGTTAAATCAATAAATGTATATGTTTTGACATATGACATATGTTTGACATGTTTGGACATTTTCATATCATCACTTGTACTGCTGTAGTTGATACAACAATTCAGTTCATTCAGTCTGATCAAAGAACCAGTGACCATCTTGCTGTG